GGGGACCCGATCACTCCCCCTCAGCTCACGTGGCCAACCTGCCCTTTCCTCCCTCACCTGATCCAGCATCACCCATTTCTGTAGAGCAGGCATGGGAGAGATCAAGGGGTAGGCTTGAAGAGCATCCAGGTCAGCTGCCTGGATCCCAAGGGGATTATAAAAATCAGATTTAGTGAAATTAGGAAATGCTCAACTAGATGCCTCGAAGACAGTGAGTAATACATGCCCCCTTCTCGTCACTCAGGCTTCTTGGACTCCCTAGCCCTGCAGATTTCCAACAGTTGCCTTTCTCTGCTCCCCTGCCTGCTGGTAGCTGCTGAGCTTCCCCAAGGCAGGACTTGCTTCTCTCTCCCCATCACCCAGAGTTACATTGCCACCAGGCTCCATTCCTTTGCCCATCAAAACTGGCCTCGCAGCAAATGGGGCTGGCTGCAGCACATCAGCAAGGGAGCTCCAACCTCACAAAGTCTCCCTTGTCCTTGGGGGGAACGCCTTTCCTTTGCTTCTGTCAACCTACTATTAGCTAAAGGAGGTGTCAGATCTCTGGCATGGCCATCTCCTGGGGTCTACCCAGGCCCCACTGCCCCCAGCCAGCATACCTCCACAGCCAGCATTTCCTAAGATGGTTAACAAGAGGCTGGCCATGTGTTTGATCTCCAGTTCTTTCACCTGTTCTCTCTCTGTACTTGCTGCCTCTCTGGAGTTTGGCATCTGGTCTGGGTCTGTCCTACAGATCGCGCACACGAGGTCAGTTACGCTCCTTCACCTCCACCACCCTGACCCTCCTCAGGGGCTGGGTTCCTGAATTGAGATAAGTTTCATGCTGCACTGAGAGCAGCTGGTGAGGCACCAGATGGCTGAGAATCTGTAAAAATAAAAAAAAAAATAAAAAAAAACTGGGTCTGTGACAGCAGCACTTTTATTGTTCACTCATTCCCACTGCTGCCAGACTCTGAATGCATATCAAACAGGGCACATGCCCTTGTGAACACTACCGCTACACAATTGTGCAAAACAGTGACAAAGCTCCTCTAACACCCCCAGCCAAGCCTGCTTCGTGGTCTGAGGAGGACATCCTGCAACACTAATGAACCGCTAATGAACCTCGGCATCGTGGCAGAGGGAGAACCGGCTCCATCAGTTGCCCCCTTGCAACACTTCGGCAGTGGCGCAGCATCCGGAGGGACTGGACACCGGTCATTTCTTTTATTGCACTATAAAGCATCATACACACCTTCAGCAGTGCATAAATAATAAATAACAGCAATAATATGGTCCCTTGAGCAAAGCTGCATTTCATCAGCAAGAAAGTCATCCTCTTGTTCCCTCTCAGCATTGCAGCGGGTGCCCAGGGGCAGCCCCTGCTCTGGGAGGAGGTCGCGTCTCTGCTTTTCATTGCACGTAGCCCAGCAGTCAGGGCAGGCTGCGGCTGTTCATCATCCTTCTGTTGTGAGATGAGTTTGGTAAACTCGCAGTCCTTGTGAGGGTGAGGGACCCGAGGCAGGCACTTGGGCTGCCTTCTGACGTGCAGAAGCAGCAGCTGCTCTGGGCCTGGGCCTCCATTTTAAGCACCACCAACACAGAAATGTGACTGACACCTGCACGCACCAGAAAAAGTGCCTCAGGCAAGGCCAGGATGGAAAAGGTTTCCACTACCCTTGTCCTCTTTTGTCTGCTCGCTGGGGACCTCATTCCAGACCTGCAGAATCCAGGGGAAGCCGCAGGTTTCCAGCACTTCCACGGCACAAATGAGCAAAAGCCCCCAGGAGCCTGCCTTGTGACACAGAGTTGAAGGATTGGTGTGTACCTGAGCAGTATTTCTTACTCAGGTGTGCCCGAGTGACTGATTCTCTCAGAAAATCATTTGAACTTTACGTGACTGAATGGCACCCAATTCTGAATTTTACCAGCAGTCTTACCAGTTCACTCTAGATTCAAAAAAAAACAGGATTTAAACTATTTCCCTCAGGAGATTTCCAAAGGCTAACTTCTTTACCTAGTTGGTTTTTGGTTTTTGTTTTTGTTTTTTTTTTTTTAAATTGTGACACATTTGGACATACAGATATGTTGCCTGGATTACAAAAAAACTTGGAAATCAGCTCTGGTGCACATTTAATCCATTTTTCCAATACTGTAGAAGCACACAGACACCACTGGGCACGTTCTCACTCCTTCCAGCTAACCCCGAAGCAAAGGGTAGCCCTCGATCCTTGCTGTTAGACGACATCCTTTTTTATTCACTTTTAACTACACGAAGTAAAAGATTGATTCAAATAAAATACCAGAAAAAAAATTGTTTCAGTCAAGTGTTCAACCTGAACAAGCCTAGACTTTTCAAGTTTTCTCTTCTTCTCATTGGAAATGCATAGACAATTTTTTGTTAAATATTGTACCAAGCTTGCAACAGGTTGCAGGCCAGAAATGAGGGGGTGAGGGTAGCTCTGCTTGATTTTACCCCAGAGCTGGGTGGTATTTTTGCAACCCAGTTCATATCAAGAAAGGCAATGAAGAACAGCTCGGCGGGAGTTCGCTACGGTGATATGAAAAGCAAACACCTGCAGAATGAGGGTATTATTTCACTTCATTACACCTATGCAATGCTACCAGATGCAAAATAGGAGCTTGAAATGCGGTGGCAGGCCTTGCCAGTAGAGCCCTTGATTTTCTGAGTGTAGGATACCCCAGCAGCCGAGGGGCTGCAAGAGGAGAGCTGCCAGCAGCACAGCAGAAAAAAAGAGCCCCCTTACAATTTAAGATGAGAAAAGGACAAGAGTTCAGGGGACAAAAGAGGTGGAGGAAGACTTTCTTAAAAGCAAGCAAGGCCTTTCACTCTGATTCTGCAGTGAGGCAGCAGCTTGAGAATGGAGAAAATCAATGAGTAAGAGTTGAAGGGCTGGAGCTGACTGAGAAAGGTACTTCACATACTCACTCCTTCAGAGGCAGTCCGGGGTGACTCAGCCTGTCTTGGAAAGGCTGCTTCATTTCCCCAGACTGTCTTGTTATTTGAGATCGAGTGTTGGGTAAGTGGTCTCAAGCAGCAGTAGTTCACATTTATACAGCATCTTCAGGACCAGTGTGCCCTAACTGTTTTTAGAAATGTTATATAGGCAGGGCCTCAACCACCACTAGGATCCAAAGGCAAGTGGGCTGCCTACAGCTACTTTTAAAAGAAAAGTTCACCTAGAATATTGTATTTTCTGAGCCTGTCAATTTCTAATAATGATTCTCCCCCCTACATTTATCATGGCCTAATTTCTGTCCCTGTAAATCCCAGCATCTGCGGGTTGTGGGCCCACTAACTAGAATGAGATCTGTAATCAAAAATGAGTCAAAGATTTTACTTATTTTTGTTTTCCTAGTCAGGTAACAACCTTGAAGGCAGCGGCAGGTTTTTTAGCAATAGCTCAAGATATCTCCTGGAGATTTAGTGTTTTCTAAAACGAGTGTAAGTGATTTCGCGTGAATCATTGAAGGTAGCTATAATTGCCAGAAGACTCACAACAGGTTTTGCAGAAAACGTTTCTCAGTTGCATCTGACAGTCCACCATGAGCAAGACAGCATGAGAACAAAACATCATAAGGTTACTGCAGAACAGCTTTGAAGAACAACATACCTGAAAAGGGTTATTGGCTGGAAATGCAGAAAGGAGCAAAGTAGCTTCTGTGAAACCACAAAGGCACACAACAGCGCTACTCAGAGTTGTTTGCATGGATCTCTTGAATGCAGCAACAAATTAAATAACCTTGTTTCTACGAGATTAACCCATAGCTAAAACACTGCATCTTCATAAGGCAAAAATCTTAGCTTATTGACAAAAACATATTACCTTCTTCTTCAGTACAGGAAATAAAGACATTCTGGAGAAGGACAATTTTATTTGCTGTCTCGGATGCTACAAACTTTGGAAACATCAAAATATTTCCAATAATCATTTGTAACTACAAAGCTGAAAAAGGAAACAACCCATTGTTGTCTTGATTACTTTGAAAGCAGCACTGAAAATTTTATTTGGAACACTGTCAAAAGTTAAAGATTTACTGTAATGAAATTATTTAAATATTGGCAAAGCATCCCCACTTGCAATTGGTAATGTCTATATGCATTTGTATGTGGAGTTTTGTTTCCCATGGCTAATGGAATACAAGAATATCTCATAGAGCAAGTATATTTCTGGATATACCGTCCTTTGATCAAGACGGCTGCATTCCAAAGTTGGAAATCTTTTTGCCTTATCTCTCAGCATTCCCACGGGGCATTTCCACAGACTACATTTGAAAAGGCTTCTTTTTTTGAAATACTCCTAGACTACTCGAAGAGACTTCAGTGTAGGGGAGGAGGATTGGATTGTTCGGCAGCAATTTTTAAGCTCTTTCAGGCAAACCAACACTGGGAGGCACTTTCAGAACTCCAAGCCACTTATGGTCCTTCCACAGTAAGCTTTTTTTTTGGGGGGGATGAAGTTTTAAAATTAAAATAATAGCAAAACACATTATTTGAAAAGTTACAAAAGAGTTGAAGACGAAATCATTTGGCTATAAATGCAACTTTAATCTAGGAACAGTGTTCAGGAAAAAAAAAAGGTGGGGGGGAATTGCATTCAGCAAAATGCATTAGCTCTCAAATATCTGGCTTCACATTACAATTAACTAAACTGCCTTAATCCAATTCAGCCACTGAGAAAACAACTCACCACAAAACTGTTGACTTCTCAGGAAGCCATGATCATTACTCAAAGGCTAAAATTTCTCAACAAGCTTCGTTGAACGGTACCCTGACAACAGCATATAATGAGAGACTTGATAATGTGCGTGTTGAATGCAGGCTTCAACAGCCTTATAGTCAAACCTGGCCAAACTTATTTAAATTTTAGGTCTTCATCCTCCTAACTCATGGAATACCTCACGTCCCTTCCTTCCTTTTACAGGCAAAAAAGGACTAATATTTTCCTTGAGAAACAAGCTGAGACACACTGCAGAAATATTGACTCTGTTAAGGCTGAGTTTCAAATTAAAGTCAATTTCAATTATACATGTAAAGAGTTTTATGAAATAATTTTACAAAACAAAGACACATTGAAATGCATTGAAACTGCTAATAAGTATTATATTTTAGATAAAAATTGACTCTTAAGAAAATTGAATTTTGTACTTGAGGGCAATGGAAATGTAGACTAGAAATGCTAAGGAAAACAATAGTTTAAAATGTCCTCTAAAACAATCAGCTAAGAAAGGTGGTTGCTCTAATTCTGTAAAAAATATAAAATAAAATTACTTCCACCTGTACCTAGTTTCCAGGAAATTACAATCAAAACTATTGTAAGGCATTCCTACAGCCAAACACAAAGACAGAAGACCTCTGCGTGGCACTGATCAACCAGCACAGGAGAAGCCATTTCCTCACCCTTGGGTATAGCAGGGGGCAGCCCAGGGAACTTCCTCACCTTACAAAAGGGAATTAGAGGAAGGATTACCATTTTTCTCCAGTCCTTCACCAATGATTCTAGCAGAAGGAAGCTCCGCAGGGCAGTTGCTTTTCTTGGTGGATGCTACCTCACAACCTTTTTTATTTTAAGTGTGTATTTTGTGACAACATTTTGAAGTGCTGGCTTTCGTGCAGTTCAAGGTTCTTAGTGGCTTCTGAAGATTGAGACCCATCCAACTAGGCACAGCAGCCACAGGACTGCACTCATCAGCCCCAAAACCAGAAAGGTTTTTGCTGTGTTTAGCTCAACCACCCTCCCTTACATTTCTCAAGCACTGACGTTCTCGTAGCATAGTCAGAAACAGTGAAAGCTTCAGTAAGAAGGCGAATAACTCCTGCCACCTTGTTGAGGGCTCTGTCCTTGAACTACGCTGAGATGTGCATTCCAGGTGAGCACGCATCTCGTGTGTGTGCAGCTGCTGCTTGCTACCCATACATTTGCTACAGCACCCAAAGCTCCTCAGGGATGTGCCAGGAGCAGTAGGGCACATGCAAATCCACTGCACGACCCAGAATTGCTCCCTGACATACACACACAGAGCATCCTCGCAAACCAGTGCCTCAGCCAGGAACCTGGGTTAGATGCTTGAATAAAACATGGAAGATCTGTATTCCAGTCATGATTTCACCGCAGACTCCCTGGGTGACCTTCGGCAGGTCATTTAAGCTCTCTGTAAAAATAAGACTGATAACACTTCCTCTATCTGCCTTGCCTATTTAGACCTTAAGCTCCTCAGGCAGAGATTGCCTCGTACACGCACCGAGTCCCTAACAGTTGGGGCCTCTAATAACTACTGTGATACAGGTAATTATCAACAGGGACAATGCAAACAGCATTGACAGGGACAGAGTTCCACTACCCAGCCCCAAAAACACCGCAGAAGGAAAGCGGCACAAAGCAGGAAGTTGTGGCTGAGCCAAACAGAGACATTATCAAATGCAAAAATATTTCTGAGCTCTGCAATCAAACTGGAAGGCAGGTTTAGGGCTGTAACGAAAGAAATCACATTATGACCTGCTTGCACAGCCCCATGCAGAATGCACAGAGGCTTTTCCTTTCTTTCTACGCTTGGGTGCTGTGATAGCAACTTATTTTTTCTCCTTTTCATAAATTAAACTTCAAGTGACCAGCAGTGTGCAAAGTCAAAATCTTGCAGGGGTTGGGGAGGGGGGCTGCTTTATCAGTGATGAAGCAGAGCACTAGGCAATGTGATTTGTCTGTTTGCCTGTTTTCATTATCTTTTTTATGTTAGCATTAAAGACTTATGAAGACCATATTAAAAAATGCTGCAGAATGACTATTTGAACAAGACCAAAATGCACCTCTGAGAACAGCAGGTAATAGCAAGGCTATGCTTTTGCCTGTGAGCTGAGAAAGATGTAACGCCAGTGATGAGGTCTGCTGAAAAATTCCTTCCTGTCTCTGCTTCTGTTTCTTCTTGCATCTTTTGGCCTTTGCTCAACAACAGCACAGAGAGAGCTAGGGGCTACGGTCACAGGAGCCCAAACAGCAGCACTCACCAGCTCTAAATGACCATGCAGTACGGCTGCTCCAACTCATTTCAGGCTGCTTCTCCAGGGAGGGCTGCCTGTGGGCTCACAAGCTGCTTACAGGGTACAATCCCCGTCCATCCTCAGGGGAGCTTGATAGAGATTAGGTGTGCTCTGTTTAAAAGGGAGGTGCAGGGGAAGCACTGCTGTATTTTTGTAGCCTGTCTTGTTGCATCCAAAACAGAGCCCAGAACCTTTGGGCTAGGTTTTGTTTTAGTGTTTTTTCTTTTTATTTATTTATTTTTTAGTTGATTATTTTGGTTCCTGCTTGTTGGTTTCTTTTGTCTCTTCTATTAGAGATTCAGTTTTTGTCTCCTGTTTTCTCCTGGAAAATTTTGTGGATGGGTGGAGAACTAATAGGCTTAGGATATCAGAGGAGCCAACAGATTGACAGAGTCTTACAAATCACAAACAGACCTTTTTATGTAAGATGAGGCAGTTACTTAAAGGGTACCAAAAGATGCATTTTACTAACCTAACAAATGTTCTGGCCAGCTTTTGCATAGCAGGAGGTGCAGACTGCTTGGGAAATTTGCTTCACAGCCCACCCAAAAATGCTGAGGCAAGTGCACAACCCATACACACACTTAGGTGCACACACAGAGAATGATTTTAAACAAAAAGCAAGCAGCTTTCCTGTGAATTCCTCTTCTGTTACAGGTTGCTAACAGGCACAGCCCAATCCCACCATTGCATTGCTGTGTAAGAGCAGCTGATAATCACCCTCTCGGGTATTAAAGCCAGAAGGGATAGGTGAGATCGCTTATGCTGCGTTCTCATTTTTACACACACACACGTATGTATCAGTTGCTTACACCACAACTCCTTTCTGCTGTCACTGCACTGCTGTGGGATGCAATTATCCACTTGTGCCCTTCAGCCCCTGCATCTCCTGATGGAGATGGGGGAAAAGCATTTAAGAACAGAAAAGCTCTGATTCTCTGAAGGCTCAAGAAGCCTATCGCCTCCATTTCCTGGGCAGCTATTCCCACATGTGTAGCATGCAGATGAGGGAAGACATTTGATTTTAAAACCAAAAACTGGATCAATTCCAAAGGAAAGTAAAAATGCCTTCACCCGAGAAGTGGCCCATTAGCCAACCGTGACAAGACATCTTCATCCTGTGTTTCTTCACTGCCTGCTTCATGAAGACACATCTACAGACCCTCTCCTGTCCAGGACCAAGGGTGGATGCCTGCATGCTGGACCCTTTCTGAGCTCCACCGAGGAGACAGTACCAGTTGCTGTGGAGACAGAGCCTTCCTGGGGTCTGTGATTAAGGGATGCGGTACCCTAAAAGCACTCAGGCACAAGTGCCTGTACAGAAAACTCGTTAAGTCAATAGTGAAATCAAAACTCGATATATCGTGGAAATCGGTGGGACCTGAAGTACAGGCCAAAAGATGAGAACTGTCCCCCCAGTGCTCTCCTGAGTCAGGGCTGGAATAAGCAGAGAGCAGAGGAAAGGGAATTATTTCAGCTTTGTTCCCTTCTGGATGCTCCATATGCTGCAGCCAGCTGTTGCGGTTTGTGCATACTCTCTACAGTGGGCACGTGTGACAGACTCTTACCTCCCTGCAGTGTGACTCAATCATACCAGGTCTCAAATGGTTTGCTCAAGCCTCTGATGCAGTTTGCATTTTCCCCATCCCCATCCCTGAATTTTCTCTTACCCAAGCCTCATGGCTTTAATGAGTCACATCCTGAGGACGGGAGGGTTAGGTGACTGTTCTCAGTCCATTCAGAGCTTCCTCCCTTACCCACTGTTCATCTACCAGCTTACAGCAATCTCAGCAACCAGAGGGAACATATTAGTTTTGGGGGTCAACGCCACAGCCAAGAATCTCTTAAAAAGATGTTTTCCTTTTAGAAAACTACAGTGAAGCCAAGAGAAAACTGGTGATGGAGTACAGCAAAGCCCACCAGGCGCTGCTCAAACATCCTACAAACATACAAGCCTTTCAGAGAGCACTGCACAGCACAGGGCCAAATCCTCCACTCTTAGGTCAGGAGGATCTCTGGCATACAAGAGAACACAGCCTGCAAGTCCCAGAATCAGACCCCTCATTTATGCTGCATGTCCTGCTAAGCAGAGGGGCACACTGCTAGGAAAAGTCTTTGGGTTTTAGCGTTGCCATTCTTCTCAAAAGTTGCTGCAGCGTTTCCCCATAGTAGATCTGAAATGTGATGACGAGAATTTGGCTGTTTGCCCACTGCTGTCGCTACCCATCACATCTCCCAAAGACCCACAGCCTTCTCTGAGCTTTTCTTTTCCTATTACTTTCATCCATCCAAACAGCAGAAATCCTTTCCCATCATTTTTTTTTCCAGCAGATTTCTCCTTCACTGGCTCAGAGTGGTTCCTCCCACTGTTCCCCCACATGTTGGCTCTCAGCTTTAATCAAACTCACTTCCATATCTCCCATCTGATTAACAAAGCGCTGCCTGGCCCTCGGCCACCCTCAGAGCTGGCACAAGCAGGTGCAGCTCTGACAAAGTGACATCAAGCTGTGTGCACCCCGGATTGGGCTCATCCCTCTGATGGAGGCCTCTTGCTCCCAACTCTTTCTGAAAGCTGTCTCATGGCTTGCACATGTGAGGAGAAACCAAGTCAGTTCTCGCTGAACATACTCCTAGAATCACTACACGTATAAGCTGCCTCATCCCATATTTCTCCTACCTCTTTGAACATAAACGCAGTCTTTTCAGCTTGGATGTTAGTGCTGTAGGGAGTGATGAGCCTGCTGAGCGCTCCTCTGGTATCAGCAGAACCTTTATTTACATTTCTTTCCAGCAAAATAGAGCAAACTATCCTCAGTACCTGGTGAAGGGAGCCTGTCAAACACACAGTTGCATGCAACTGTGACCCTACATGAATGAGAAAAAGAAACCAGTTCTCTTTCCTAGCCTTACCGTTTCCCAGGCAATTTGCAGAGATGCCCATGTGCAGATCCATCCTCAACAAACTCCCAGCGTCCTGGAGCACAGGCAGATGCAAACCAGAGCCTTGTAAAAAGAAATGTTTGTGACAAGAGTCGTGAAGACATTTCAAAGCTACAGGCAACATTGTGCTGACTCACACTTCCACCAAAACCCACTTTTCAGAGGCATCAGTAATATCTGCCCAGGGACCTCCAGCTCCTCGATTTACTAGGCTTATCGTACGAATGAAGCCAACAGGCAGCCGTGTGTTTTAGACACCAACAAGATGTGAGTGGTGGAACTCCTTGCTGCAGGGTGCTGGATGCTATCAGTTCTCATAAGCTGAAGAAGGCAAGGAAGGAAACTCCATCTAGAGCTGAGAAATACAACGAAATTCTGTCTGGTTAAAGAAGTAAAAAATCTCTGGAGGCAGAGAGAACACATGAAGGAGGTGCCACAACATGCTCACCCTGCCTCTAACATTCTTCCTCAGGGATTCACCATTTGCCACTGCAGGAGAAAGAAATCCTGACCCGATGGGCAGTGGATCTCACATAGCATGGTTGCTCTTCTACAGCTAAGGCAAACGAAGCATAAATTCACCCGCATCTCTACACTACCTGCACAACCCTCCCAGGTCTTTCCGCTGTGCCTGCCAGCCATCACACTGCACAAAGAGCCACGGGCTCACAAATTGTTCAATTTGCCTCCTCGTACGTTTCAAAAAGGGTTCCCATCTAGGCTTGGAGTTCTACATTTACCTCCATTACCTTAAACACCCAAGAGAACAGGAGAACAGTCATCCCAAGCTCGTTTTACAACCAGAAGGAGAAGGCATGGCCAGAAGGTGGGTGACCTACGGCAGGCTGAGTTCTTGCTCTCCCCCAGTGTGCTGACTGCGTGCCGCCCAGCTGCGACCCCATCACTGCTGCACACAACTGTGCTCAAGGTTTATTTGCATTCCTTAGCTTGGATGGGATCAACCCAAACTTCAGTGACGTACACAGGCAGAGAACAAAATCACACCTCCAGAGTCTAAATCTTGCACGCAAAATGTATGGAGGGATTACAGGACAGCACCTCTGGGAGCACTATGGGAATGACTGTTCCATCACTTCCCTGTGCCCTCTGTCACTGTGGATGCATCACTTCAGCACAAAAATTCCTGTATTCAACCAAAAGAAAGGAATAGAGTCCCACTGCAATGCCAGAAAGATGTGCAGAAGGAGGCCTCCCAAGCCCTGCACCAGCAGCTGTCAGGCTCTGCCAAGAAGCCCTTTTTGAGGGAGTCTCTGGGAAAATACAGGGTATGACAGAGCACAGGGTGTACCTATGGGCAACACATACTGACTGGTTACGGAAGACAATGCACACCCGCTCCTTCCCTGCACCCGGAGCCACACACCATCCCCTTCAGGTGCGACTCAGCCTCACGCAGGGAGAGTGAAGGGAGGTGCTGAAGGCTGGAGCTTCTCCTTTTGTCCTTGACAGCTCTGAAACACCAAACATACCACAGCATCTGGCCAAGCAGCCTGGCTTGGGCTGTCGCTCCCTTGCCAGGGAAACTGACTGACAGATTTGATCAGGCACACGGAGGATGGGCTAGGACATCCTGAAGCCCCATCTCCAGCCGCCTGCTGCTTGCAGCATTAATCTCCAGTGACAGAGAGCCCCCACCACGCACAAACCAGCTGTGCGACACTGCAAGTAGGACAACACGTCACCAAGGGAAACAGGAGGGGCTTGTAAGTTGCCTTGGTGTTTTGCTAAGGCAATACACCCCAAAACCCTGCCACCAACGGGGAAGGCAGCTGGGATGGGGGATACAAAGTGGGAAGTAGAATAGAGAAGCCCCAGGATTGGGAAGGGAGAGCTGAAGTCTCCCTCAAGGTGGCCTGTGTGGAGCACACCACAAAGCTTTCTATCAGGAAGAGATCTCTAAAGCACCCTCCTGACACGGGGAGATCTCTAAGCTCTAAGATGAATGCCAAGGAGTAGCGACACTATTAAGCCTTGATCTCAAGGGGTCATCTCCTGCATCGTGCACGCAGCGATCCACCAGCCCTGCTGCTTCCTTGCTGACTGCAGGAGCTGCCTCTGCTTCTCCCTCATCTTCCATGTTCCTGCGTGCCCTCTGCCTGATCTCCACTTCACATACTCCGTCTCCAGCCTCTGTCTTCCCAGGCGGCGCATATACCCTCTGCTCCTGCTACAAAGCTATGAATCATGATAGAATAATAAGCTCGTTTATGAGCTGCACACAAGCCCAAAGGACCAAAGAGCAGAATAAATCGCTACAAAGCCCTCTAAGCCGATTTATTCATTCAACAGGTTTCTGCTTTGACTCCAGCCTCCTCTAACTGATGTCCAAACAATGCGGTAGTACAGCAGGACAAACAGCAACCTGCTTTCAAGAGGTTCATTACTTTTGTCTTTTCAAGATCAAGAGATGAACTGACTTGTAAAGGATTCGAGTCCCGGCGCAGCAGCTGAACGCCTCGCTGCTCTGCCTGATCCCCAGGCTCGCAGGAAGGCCGGCGGCAGCGCACAGTATGTAAATGCACTGCTAGCACAGGGACTGCCAGCACAGGGACTGCCAGCACAGACCTACAGCACAGCTCCGCTGTCTCACCTCCGGGGCCCTCTTGTCCTCAGGGTGGTAGACAAGGGTTTCATAATGGGCCTCTCTTGAGGCAGGAAGACTTGCAGAGCTGAACACAGCAGGTTGCTGGCTGGTACAGTCCATGCCCACAGAGGGCTTTGCCCTTCTTTCACCCAGCAGACCACACCACCACGCAGGTACCTGTTCCTTCCTGCACAAATGCATCCATGCGGTAGCTCAGGACCACTCCTCTTATCTCACCAACAGGACCCTGAGGCAAGGCAGGTTGCAAACACTTACCAACGTTTGCTTTTCGAGGCAGGAGCAGAGCTGGGAGGGAAATCTGCACATTCCTTTCTCTGTCCCTCGCCATCCTACCTCCATTTGGCCTTTCCCCTGACCCTTCTGGCCAAAAGCTCATCCACTTGTTCTTTGCCAGGCCTGTTACCGAGGTTTACCCACTCCCAGGCTCTCTCACTCCAGCCTCACCAAGGTGTTAGTAAGAAAGATTTATTTCTGTAGCTTTTCCAAATTCATCACAGCGCAGGCACAGAGAATTAGGAAAACACAGAATCTTGCATGATTTCCCATTAGAGCAGGTGTCCCCCCCCCAGAAATCCAGGCAAGTAACCAAGCCTAGGAGTGCCCCCACCCCCCCAACCACCCCAAAAGAAAGTGTGATATAGCCTAATGCATGCAACATAGCAACTGGAGAGCCTGCATCTGCCGCTATACCTGCCCCATGTTATCTGACGAGCTTGGGTCACAAGGGTCTCTCATCTATAAGAAACAGGCAGTAATTGCTCTTAAACATTCATCTGTTATTCACATTACAGCACACCCACAGGGGTCCTATCTGAGGCCCCCAGGGAGAGGCAGAATATTTAGGAGAACTAAAAAAAAAGTACAATAATTCAGTATCTCAGCCCAGTGGAACATACATTCTGGGACACAGGATAGGGACAGGGTCCCACGGCAGAGTACACTGCCTCTCCCAAAGCCCCAGGGGACTGGCAGGTGTTAGACAAATGCAGAGCAATCTCTTAGAGATGCTTTGGGTAGGAACTATAAAGAACTATAAAGGAGAAGGAAGCAGGGCACAGCTGAAAATAAAAGGCACAAGAAAAAAGCATCTGTTAGCAGGCATCCTATTTAGTGACTCTGTAAATTGAAGGTAATATCAAGGAGGCATTAAGGGATCTCTCACAGGCCTTTGCTCTTATTGTTTCACAGGGGTATCATAGCAAAAAGGAAGTCTTAAGAATGGGTAGGTGGAGTCCCTTGATTCATTAGTCCCTGTAATATCCTAAAAGCACCGCAGCAAGACAGAAAACACTGAGTCAAACTGCAAGCAGTCTCTCTCTGACCCAGGGTGGGGTTTACCCTTTGGGAGGCTGTTGGCTACTTCCACTGATGCCCTCTCTGCCAAAGCCACGTTTTCCAAAATCTCTGCAGAACAGTTGGCTTTCCAACTGTGGAGCCTTCATGCTGAGAGTATCCCTAATTTATCTCCGTGGGGATGAAAGGAGCCGGGAGGAAGGCATTCAGTTCTTGCTCAAATTAATCCCTCTTTGCTTTCAGAACAGCCCAGGAATCTCTCAGCTGGCATTTTCGTTCATGACTAAATGCTGGTGGAGGGTGTAATACATGGCTTAAAGGAACAGCTCACTGTGAGCACGCACACTGCCAGGCTCACACCGCCTTTGCTTTGCAACAGGACTCAGAGACAGTGGGCTTTGAAGGGCTTTTACAAACACCTTTCCTCTACATAATTAAAAGCTGGTTATTTTTGCAACACAAGATGGAATCATGTTTAACAGCCCGATGACAGCAAGGAGCTACAGCAGGGGAGGCACACTCTGCAACTACAGGATAAACGGCCTCCAAAAACTACGGGGGAGCAGCAGAAATTGCAAAGAAAGGAGACACTGCAAGTAAATGGAGGAGCTATTCTCATCCCGTAGGGGTGTGAATTTCTGCAAAGTGCTCGCTTCAAGATCAGGGTTGAGGTCCATTTAGCAGAACAGTGGGGGAGAATGCAGGAACCAAATTAGTAAGGACAAGGAATTCTTCTCCGTGTCCTCGGTGCGGGCTTGACTCAGCACCCATTGCAGGCATTGGAAATCTTTCAAGTGACTGTAGTGACCCCTAAAGATTGCCAGCCAGGCCCAGATTAAGAGCCTTTAGCAGGAGCCACCCAGGACGAGACAAAGTCTGAGCTCTCCCAAGGTATCCCACGTGAACTGAAACCTCATCAGCTCCATGGGGAACAGACCACAGTCTTCTGCTAGAGGGTAGGTGAAGCTGCCAGAGAAGACAAATAAAAGTTTGAGGCACGCCATGAGAGCACCCTTGAAAAGCTGAGGACCAAGAGCAGCTCGCTCTGCATTTAGTCCAGGGGAGCAGAGGCAGGTATTTGGCCCCATAGAGTGGGGACACTCAGCACAGACCAGCACCACCAGACTGTTGAGACAACAGCACT